CCTGGCTGTTTTTTGGTTGCAGCCATCATTGTTTTCTGGCGGGCCCAGGCTGGATCCGAACCTGCCAACTTAGGTGTACATGGCTGGCGCCTTAGTCATTTGAGCCACAGGCGCTGAGCCCCATGTCGTTCTTGAATCTACCCCCACTTCTCCACATTTACCGTCCTTGCTTTGAACCTAATCCAAAAGCCTCTTAACTGATCTCTCTGCCTCAGATATTTATTCTATTGACAGAATATCATTACATTAAAACCATTTTTATTTACTTTAATTTCCATAATGCCTTCTCATTTCCAACCAAAAATCAAAAATCTAAACACCTTTCTACAGCACACAAAGCCCATGGTGAACTGGCCACCCTCTATCACTCTAGTTTCACTGTGCATTTCCTTTGTGAAGGCTGCTACTCTTGCTTTAAAGATCATGCCCCTACCTTGTCCCACTCCTCTATCTTTTTCACATCTTTCAAGACTCACCCATAGAAATGGTCAATGTTTGTTAAATAACTATAAGGATGGATGGATAGAATTTCACTCCACCTACCTCATGAAGCCTTCCTTGTCTCCAAGGCAGAATTTGTTCTGTGGCAGTCCCTTGTATCTGCATATCTCTAATACCACACATATACTGAGAAATAATAACTACCTGATTACATGTCTATCTCTGTATCTAGTCTGTGAGTTCATTAAATGCTGGTAATGTGTTTTGTTTACTCTGAACTCTTAGCATCTGGCTCAGTGCCTGGTACAAAGGAGCCCCTTAGTATTTGTTAAATAAAAGAACAATAATAGAAATATGACATATCGGCTCGGCGCCTGTGGCTCAAGTAGCTAAGGCGCCAGTCCACGTACACCTAAGGTGGCAGGTTCGAATCCAGCCCGGGCCCGCCAAACAACAATGATGGCTGCAACCAAAAAATAGCCAGGTGTTGTGGCGGGCGCCTGTGGTCCCAGCTACTCGGGAGGCTGAGGCAGGAGACTCGCTTGAGCCCAGGAGTTGGAAGTTGCAGTGAACTGTGACGCCACGGCACTCTACCTGGGGGACAGCTTGAGGCTCCTGTCTCAAAAAAAAAAGAAAAAAAGAAATATGACATATCAAAAGGTGTGAAATGCAGCCAAAGCAGTACTTGGAGGAAAATGACAGACTTAAATGGACATATTAGAGAAGAAAGGATGGACTGGGTGTAGTGGCTCATGTTTGTAATGCCTCAGCAGGTGGGTCACTTGAACTCAGAGGCTGGAGACAAGCCTGAGCAAGAGTGAGACCCCGTGTCTACTAAAAATAGAAAAAATTAGCTGGGCATTATGGCAGGCACCTATAATCCCAGCTATTTGGGAGGAAAGAGAATCACTGTGGCAGGAGGATCACTGGATTATAGGTGCCTGCCATAATGCCCAGAAGAACCAGTGACGGAAACAGACAAGAAGCGCACAGGGGCAAGAGAGTATAGTATGAAGGAAGTGCCAGGTGGAGTGAGTGGTTGGTAGCATATGACTATCAAGAGAGTTAAGGAGGCTAGCTGTAGTGGCTCACTCCTGAAATCACAGCACCTGGGAGGCCTAGGTGGGAGGATTTCTTAAGGCCAGGAGTTTGAGACCAGATTGAGCAACCTAGTGAGACCCTCTCTCTAAGAAAGGGCAGTGCGTGTGGCTCAGTGGGTAAGGTGCCGGCCCCATATACTGAGGGTGGTGAATTCAAATCCGGCCCTGGTCAAACTGCAACAAAAAAATAGCCGAGCGTTGTGGTGGGCACCTGTGGTCCCAGCTACTCAGGAAGCTGAGGCAAGAGAATCGTCTAAGCCCAAGAGCTGGAGGTTGCTGTGAGCCGTGTGACGCCACGGCACTCTACCAGGGCGATAAAGTGAGACTCTGTCTCTATCAAAAAAAAAAAAAAGAAAAGAAAAGAAGAAGAATAAAGAAGGCATGCATAATACAATCATAGCTCACTGCAACCTCGAATTGCGGATGCAAGCGATCTTCACACCTCAGCCTCCTGAGTAGCTGGAACTATAGGCATATGCCACACCACAACGCCTGACTATTTTGTTGTTGTTGTTGTTGTTGTTGTTGTTTTAGCTGGCCCTGGCCAGATTTGAACCTGCCAGCCTTGTCTGTTTCCGTCACTGGTTCTTCTGCCCCCGGCCTCAACCCTGCTTCTCAATGGTGCATCCCTAGCAATTAGCACAGTACTTTCCTTCTCTCTCCTCTCCTTTCTGCTCACTCTTAGGAAGCTTCTTCAGCATGGTTTCAGTTAAGTCAGTATAGATAATTCATAAATTAACAGTTCTTGTTAGACTTTTCACTATAATGCCTACAGAGAGACAGAAAATACAAAGAGAGCAGAAGGCCAAGGTTCTAGAGCAAATGATTACCAGCAATCATCAGGGCAGCACCATGTTCCAAGTCTTTTTGTTTGTTTGTTTTTGAGACAGAGTCTCACTTTTGCCTTTGGTAGAGTACCTCAAATTCATGGGCTTGAGTGATCCTCTTGCCTCAGCCTCCCAAGTAGTTGGGACCACAGGCACCTGTCACAATGCCCAGTTATTTTTAGAGGTAGGGTCTCACTCTTGCTCAGGCTGGTCTTGAACTCCTGAGCTCAAGCAATCTACCCACCTTGGCCTCCCAGGGTGCTGAGATTACAGGCGTAAGCCACTGTGCCCAGGCTATGTACTAAGTCTTCTTGTTTTAAACTTCTGGACTCAAGTGATCCTCTTGCCTCAGCCTCCAGAGTAGCTGGGACTACAGGTGCCTGCCACAATGCTCAGCTAGTTTTTCTATTTTTAGTAGCAACGGGTCTTGCTGTTGCTCAACTCCTGAGCTTAGGTGATCTAGCCTCCTTGGCCTCCCAGAGTGCTAGGATTATAGGCATGAACCACCATGCCTGGCCTTTTAAAAATGTTTTCAGTGACAAGGTCTTGCTCTGTTGCCATGGATGGAACGCAGTGGAATAATCACACCTCACTATAACTTTAAAACTCCTGGGCTTAAGCCATCTATCCTCCCTTCTGGGCTTCCCAAAATGCTGAGATTATAGATGTGAGGCACTACACTGGCTGCCTTCAGTTTCTAGGAAGTATAAATGGGCCCTTTTGAAAATCTAATGAGAGCCATGGACCATCTCCCCAGAAGGATGAACAGTTCACAGAGGTTTTGTTTTTGAGACAGAGTCTTACTTTGTTGCTCTTGGTAGAGTGCGGTGGCGTCATAGCTCACAGCAACCTCAAAACTCTTGGGCACAAGTGATCCTCTTGCCTCAGCCTGTAGCTGGTACTACTCACTCCCGCCATGATAACCAGATAATTTTTTTTAGTTTTAGTAGAGAAAGGGTCTCGCCCTTGCTTAGGCTGGTCTCGAACTCCTGAGCTCAAACAATCCACCCACCTTAGCCTCCCAAAGTGCTAGGATTATAAGCGTGAGCCACTGCACCCGGTCTCTGTTGCTAAATTTAAAAGAAGGAAAAAAAAAAAAAAGAAAGTGCTGCTGTAAGTGGCATATAGATCAATGTCAAGTATGGAATTACACACTCAAATCTTCAAGTTGTTCACCAACTCCATATGGCACTCCCTGTATTTCAATATAAAATCTATTTTGTATACCAATGAAAGAATTGGCAGGGATCTGAATAGACATTTCTCTAAAGAAAATATCTAAATAGCCAATAAGCACATGAAAAGATACTCAACATTACTGGCCATCAGGGAAATGCAAATTAAAACCATAATGAAGAAAAAAAAAGACACAATAAGATACCATTTCACATCCACTAGGACAACCATAATAAAAAAGAAAAAAAAAACAAATGTTGCTGAGGATGGGAATAAATTGGAATCTTCATACATTGCTGGTAGGAATGTAAAGTGGTACAGCCACTTTGAAAAACAGTCTGATTAATTCCTCAAAAGGCTCAACACAAAGTTACCATATGACCAAATGATTCCACTCCTAGGAAAATAAAAACATGTCCTCACAAAACAGAGAGGACATGAGAATATCAGTACAGCAGTCCCCCCTTATTTGAGATTTTGCTGTCTGCAGTTTCTGTTACCCATAAGCAACTATGGTCTGAAAATAGTAAATGGGAAATTCCAGAAATAAACGATTCACAAGTTTGAAACCGTATACCCTTCCAACTAGCATGATGAAATCTTGCACCATCCCACTCCATCCCACCCAAGACATAAATCATTTGTTTGTCCAGTATGTACTGTATCATCCTTTGAGCACAGGTACGTGTGTATGGAAAAATGTGCAATAGATACAGTGCTCAGTACTCTCTGCAGTTTCAGGCATCCACTGGGGGTCTTGGAACACATCCCCCACAGATACAGGAAGACGACTATATCTGTTAACACAAACGGAATACCTATTAATGACTAAATAGGTTGTAAAGACTCACAATAGCATGTCAGAAGATGACCATTCACACAAAATGGCTGTTGAAAGAGACACATGGAGAGAAAGCCTGAGCGTGTACATGAATCATACATTTGTTTCTTTTTCCTTTTAACCTTTTTTTTTTTTTAACTATACAGAAGGATGCTGTTGAAGACTAACATATTTCAAACTCTAGAGAGTTCCATCAACACCAGATATGTCAGGTCTGTGGGACATGAATTGAACAGGTGGTTGTCAAACTGCCCAGGGAACTCAAATAATCCCAACACCCATCCATACCCCCAAACTCTTCGGTCAGAAGACACAGAAAATGAGTAGAAAACATTTTAGTCATAAATCCAAACTTTCGCCTATTGACAGCTTCTTTCCTTGAAAAAAGAAAAGGGGGGGGGGAAGCATGGAAAAAAATGGCTAGAAACCAATGTCACACTAATGATCACGGTTAAGACAGTAAGTGGTATGAATCAAAAGATAACTTTGCACTAGTCAGCAGGACCCAGCTAAAAGAATGCTGATTCATGAATCTATTTCCCTAAGTAAGATTGAGCAGTTGAGCCAAAGTAGTTAGATATTGTTTCTTTCCTCTGCACATCTTTTTTTTTTTTTTTGACAGAGTCTCACTTTGTTGCCCTTGGTAGAGTGCCGTGGTGTCATAGCTCACAGCAACCTCAGACTCTTGGGCTCAAGTGATCCTCTTCCCCAGTTTTTCATTTTTAGTAGAGACAGGGTCTTACTCTTGCTCAGGCTGGTCTCGAACTCCTGAGCTCAAGCAATGCAACTGATTTGGCCTCCTGGAGTGTTAGGGTTACAGGTGTAAGCCACCATGCCCAGCCTTCTCTGCATGGCTTAAGAGGCCATAAACTTAAGAGAGCTAAGTTTTTGCCTTCTGATGTGACTGCCTTAGGTAAAACACAGCAGTGAAATTTTGGTGTGACTACAATGGGTAGAAGTTGGAAGAAGCACTATGAAGTTTAGAGCTCTGGACACAGACTAAACTCCACTAGCTGGCACTGGATCCATCCTGAGAACTGACTTCACCCATCTGGTTCTCTCTGGGTTGAGAAAGACAGTTGACCTAAGCAACTGAGCCATAGTCCCAGAGGATCCACCAATATACAAATCATCTCTCATCTACTGAACAAACCTTGACTGGGAACTAACCTACTTCATACCAAGCTCTGGGCTAAACACTATAATACAATGAATAATAGAACAAATTCAAGCACCAGGTGCAGTGGCACCTGCTTGTAGTCCCAGCTACTTGGGAGGCTGAGGTAGAATTTCTTGGGCTCAGGAGTTTGATGCTAAAATGCACTATGAATCCCTATGAATAGCTAGCCACTGTACTCCAGCCTAGATGACACAGTGACACCATGTTTCTGGAAGGAAGGAAGGAAGGAAAGGAGGGAGGGAGGAAGGGAAAAGAAAAGAAAAGAAAAACAAGAAAACAGATTTAGTCTCTGAGTTAATGGAATCTAAGTCTTGCAGGAGGAAAACTAAATAAATTGCTATATAGTATCTAGGTGATTACGAGTGTGTAAAATGCTAAGAAAAGAGTCAAAACGGGGTCCCAAAGAGGGAGGTCAGCCCAATGACTAGGGCAAACTTGCCCATAGCACCAAAGGAAAGCAATGCCATATGGTACCAGTAAAGGTTGCTCAAGTCTTCAGATACTGAGTGAAGACCTCCCTGGCATTGGTGCCTACTCATAACTAGATAATAGAAGATAAACACATGCTATAACCATAAGAACACACATACTAATGCACATACCATAGTTTCTCTCTCTTTTTCATACATATTAACCCATGCTCATCTATATATGCGTAACAGACCACCACATTCATAACCCACATTCCCAGCCTCACACCTCTAAAGATATATACACACCTCACATGAATATATACACACAGGCCACCATACCAGGCAGGCTGCTGCTCCACTCTTCACTCTCTGGGGTTCTAGCAGTAGGTGGTCCCTCTGGATCCTTTCTTCCTTCTTGCTTCTCCTGTAGAAGACAAGTGTAATCCCAGCTGCCTGCCCTTGGGGGTTGTGATGAAGTTCTAGCTTCTGATTCCGGCCCCTATCTGGCTCTCTAGCCATGTGGTATTCTGCCCTAAAGAGGCAGAATTTCCTCTATGCCATCAGCAGAAATACAGACAACCCACTGCCACTTGGGCACAGACTCATGTGAACATACATATCTTAGCCTGACTACAATTCCTCTCATTACCAAGTAGAGAAACTGAACACACAAAAACCTGCTCTGTGCTGATTTTACATATCCAATAGAATCATCATTCTTTATGTCTTCCAGCTTTTGTGGCTAAAACTCTATACTCCCTGGCCTTTGCCAGATTTCAGCAGCCAAGTTTTCTACTTGCCTGCATATCTACTTTGGGTACCACAGTTCATGTGACTGTGTGGAGTTTTTTTTGTTTGTTTGTTTTTTGAGACAGTCTCATTATGTCACCCTCAGTAGAGTGCTGTGGCGTCATAGCTCACAGCAACCTCAAACTCCTGGGCTTAAGTGATTCTCTTCCCTCAGTCTCCCAAGTAGCTGGGACTACAGGCACCTGCCACAATGTCCAGCTATTTTTTTGTTGCAGTTGTCATTGTTGCTTAGCTGGCCTGGGCTGGGTTCAAACCCACCAACCTTGGTGTATGTGACTGGCGCCGTAACCACTGTGCTACGGGCGCCGAGCTGATGTGACTGTGTCTTGACCTTGACACTAGACTAAGATGGCAGCTCCAGAAAATCAAGAGGATGATTACTTTATTTCCCTCCAACAAAGTATAGGATCTGACTCAAGATAGGACTCCAAAACATGGTAAGTGAATCATTATGAGTATCTTCTCTGGCCCAGTCCCATGACTTGGATTGAAAGGGACAGTGGGAATCGAGGCACAGGTTTTTGCTTCCTTCTTCTCTGCCCATTGCCCTCTTCCTACCATGGCTTCTGGCTCAGACTCTTCCTCTGATGGGCTCTGGTATTCCCTGTGTTTCCTCTTCTTCATGGGTTTGAGAAGCTCAGAAGCATTGCCACGGCCTGAGGAATTCTCCACTATGACTGACCTAAGGGAGGGGCCGTTTTCCTTAGGAAAGGAAACCCCTCCCCTGCACCACCCAGCCCTTCTCCTAAGCCCTGAATGGGAATGGGGCATTGGGGGCTGAAGGCAGAGCAAGTAGGGCTGTGACCTGCTCCCCTTACCGCTCTTGGAACAGCTGAGGGCCATCACTGGAGGAACCAAGATCTGGACCAGCGCCTTGCTGAGGCCCACAGGCCTGGCACTGACAGGTGCCATCATCCTTGGGGAAGTCCTGAGGGGTATCTTCGGAAGAATTCTGAGGGAGGTCCTCTGCAGAGGCCAAATGGGCCTCAGGCCTCCTACCCCATCACATCCACACTCAGGTTCCACCCATGCCCCCTCAAGCCCTATCTCCACCTTGGTCCCATCTCCACACTGGACAGCCTCCCCAGGTTTATTCACCTCAGGATCTACCTTGGGGTCCACCTGCAGAAACCGCCCAGGCCACGCCCCCAACCAAGGCTCCTCAGGGAGTTCAGGCCTCATCCCACCTGCACAGGGTTCCAGCTCAGACCCAGCATGCGGGACTCCTACCGGGCTGTTGGGTGCCCACATCGCCATCCCCAACCGGGGACCGGCCATCTTCATATTCGGTCATGTCTCCTCGCCTCAGCTCCGTACCCGGGGGCTGCTCCACTCCCAGCATGTTCAGCTGCGTGTACTCGCTTATCCGGAACTGAAGCGCAGGAGGGTCCAAGGATTGCGACTCCTGTTGCCAGCCTTTGACCCACCGTCAAGTCGGCACTGTAGCCCTCTCGCCGCCTCATGCCAGCTCACGTACACACTGGGCCTCAAGACTTGGCCCTGGTCACCTCACTCGAAGCTACAAACCCAGATTGCTCACCACCAAACCACACCCCCAGGCACCTGCAGGTCCAATTCCAGCAAGCCTCACTCTAAGCCACACCCCCAGATACACAACAGCCAGTCCCAGGTGCCTCACTCCAAGCCACGCCCCCAGACACCCACGAATCCAGTCCCAGGGTACCTCTTGCCCGAGAGTCCCTAGGTCCTCGTAGGGACTCAAGCCACACCCCTAAAATGCTTCACTCAATGCGTCCCCCTTTTCTCCCCTTTCTGCCACTGGTCCAGCCTTGGGCCTGTAGGCCCCGCCCCGAATCTGTGCTCTGGCTCCGGAGAGCCAGCCAATCCCCACAGATACTGACCCGCAAGCCGCTCGCAGGGGGCGGGGCTGCAGCCTCAGTCCACTCAAGAAGCCGTACTGTGCTGGCGCTGGAGCTGGAGACTGGCACGGCATTAAGCTGCGGCAGGACTGTAGCGGTAACTGGTTCGCTGCTGGCCACCTGCTCTGGGGCGCCCACATGGATTGGCTCCCGGGGAAAGCAAGACACATCCAGGGCACTAGTAGGCAGGCCCAGGGTGGCTGAGTTGGCTGTAAAATGATACAGACACATTATGGGTGAATCTAGTGGTCCTGCCTCAATTCTGCCATGCATGTGTGGGCAGTTGAAAGAAGGCAGGTGTAGGAAAGTGAAAAGTACCATCCCCTCTCCAGGATACACACTGGCTTGAACAGGTATAGGGATGCTCCCCCAGACCCCCGGCTTCATGTACCTGGAATGATGAAGGCAGTTGTGGGCAAATGAGGAGGGGAACCTGGGCTCTCTCTAGCCAGCAGGTGCACGCTGACCTCTCCTGTGGAGGGGCCTGTCAGTGTCCGCAGCATCTCCATTTCAGCATGCCCTTCCATCCTGGTAGGCCTACAAGCCAAACACAGCCCCTAAGTTAGTCAGGGGGAACCTTTGCTACAGAAGCAATGGAGATGGAAAGGGAAGGGTTTTCTCTGAGGAGATGGCCTTAAGCCACCAACCTGCAGAGAAAGGCCTCTGTCCTGAGGGGAGAAGGGTGTCTTAGGGAACCAGCATTAGGTCTGGCTCCTGGCTCCACCCATGTCAGTAGGTGGGCTCTGGCTAGGCCTTGTACTTCCCCAAGTCTCTAAAAGGACCGGCATGATGGCATGTGTGAAGGTACTTGGTAAACTGTGATAGACAGAACTGACTTTAGGGAGCATCACTCAAGGTTCTATCTGGCCAGTTGTCTTCATAAACATACCTCAGGATGTGTCCAAACTCACTTCTTTCTGGAACCCCACCTGTTTTCCCATTAGAATCACTTCCTTCTCCCTCTGCAGATTCAAACACCTCAAGTACCAGCTTTTCCTTCACACATACAGGGTTCATCTTCCTGGGAGGTGGGATCTTTCCTGATCATGTTCTTTTATGCCCTTGTCCTTTGTTCCCTCCAACCCTAAACACAGAGTGGGCACTCAAACACCTGTTCAACAGGTGGGCATGTTGCCTCATGCCTGTAATCCTAGCACTCTGGGAGGCCAAGGTAGGTATATTGCTTGAGCTCAGGAGTTCAAGATCAGCCTGAGCAAGAAAGAGTGAGACTCCATCTCTAAAAATAGCTGGGCATTGGCTCGGTGCCCAAATCACAGTGGTTACAGCGCCAGCCACATACACCGAGACTGGCGGGTTCAAATCTAGCCCAGGCCAGCTAAAACAACAATGACACCTGCAACAAAAAATAGCCGGGCATTGGGTAGTTCCTGTGGCTCAGTGGGTAGGGAGCTGGCCCCATATACCAAGGGTGGGGGGTTCAAACCCGACCCCGGCCAAACTCAAAACAAAAAATAGCCAGGCATTGTGGTGGGCACCTGTAGTCCCAGCTACTCAGGAGGCTGAGGCAAGAGAATTGCCTAAGCCCAGGAGTTGGAGGTTGCTGTGAGCTGTGATGCCAAAGCACTCTACCAAAGGCAATAAATTAAACTGTTTCTAAAAAAAAAAAAAAAAAAAAAAAATAGCTGGGCATTGTGGCAGGCACCCGTAGTCCCAGCTACTAGGAGGCTGAGGCAAGAGAATTGCTTTAAGTCCAAGAGTTTGAGGTTGCTGTGGCACTCTACCAAGGGCAACATAGTGACTCTGTCTCAAAATATATATATATATATATATAAATAGTGAGGCATTGTGATGGGCAATTATAGTCACAGCTACTAGAGAGGCTCAGGCAAGAGGATCGCTTGAGCCTGAGAGTTTGAGGTCCCATCTACTAAAGAGACTCAGGCAAGAGGATCACTTGAGCCCAAGAGTTCGAGGTTGCTGTGAGCCATGACACTATAGCACTCTACTGAGAGCAACCTAGTGAGACTGTCTCAAATAATAATAATGATAATAATCTGTTGAACAAATGCATGCATCCGAAGAGCAAAGTAATGTATGTGGTGTGTGAAAACCTAGTCAGTATATGATTTTTTTTAACAAAGCAAAGACAGTCAAACTATTTAATAAAGAGTTGGTTCAGGCTCGGCACCTGTAGCACGTGGTTAAGGCACCAGCCACATACATTGAGACTAGCGGGTTCAAACCCGGCCTGGGCCAGCTAAACAACAATGACAACTGTAACAAAAAAAAAATAGGTGCCTGTAGTCCCAGCTATGTGGGAGGTTGAGGCAAGAGAATCAGTTAAGCCCAGGAGTTTGAGGTTGCTGTGATGCCATAGCACCCTACCCAGGATGATAAAAAGTATTTGAATTTTTGGCCAGATGCGATGGCTCATGCCTATAATCCTAGCACTCTGGGAGGCTGAGGTGGGTGGACTGCCTGAGCTCAGAGGTTTGAGACCAGCCTGAGTTAGAGCAAGATTTCATCTCTAAAAATAGCCAGGCACCTGTAGTCCCCACTCAGGAGGCTGAGGCAAAAGAATCGTTTGAGCCTAGGAGTTTGAGTTTGCTGTGAGCTGTGACACCGCAGCACTCTACCAAGGGAGAGAAAGTAAGACTCTGTCTCAAAAAAAAAGAAACACATAAACCAAATAACATAATTTCTGTACCTAAAATTCTTCAATGGCTTGCCATTGCTCTTAGAATAAAATAAAAATGCTTGTCTCCCACAGAATCTGACCCCTGCCTCTCTCTGACCTATCCTCCACTGCTCCTCAAACTGATTTCCTTCCGTTGACTGGCAAACTTTCCAACTTCACAGCCTTTGTCCCTGCTGTTCCCTGCACCTGAAACGCTCTTCCTCAAATTCTCTGCTTATCTGGCTCCTGGTCCTCCAGGCCGGAGCTCAATGGTTACCTCCTTAGAAGAGGTTTTTCCTGATCTTGCAATTTAAAGCAGCACATCCCTCACCCCACGCCCACAGTGGCTATCTTATTACTGTGTTTATTTCCTTCACATCCTTCATTATAATCAATAGTGATTTTCATTTATTTCTGTTTGATTAGTCATCTTCACATAAATTCAAAGACTATCTGTCTTGTTCACTCCTATATCCCCAGCACTTAGAATAGTACCTGGGACATAGTAGGTGCTTTGTGTTGGATTTAAGTAATTTAAACTCATTAATTAAAAACACTGTATGAGTGATTGATACCTGTTGATTTAAGGTGCTAGAAGTACCTGGCAATGGCTTCTAAAGGTCTAGCCTAAGACAGACTCAGTCTGGAATCTCAGGGATGCCACTTAGCTTATGCTCTCCAAGCCTTGGTTTCCTCTTGTGTAAAACAGATAGGTAGCAATGCTATCTGCTTTAAAGGGCTTTGGTAAAGAATGGAAATGGAGGGGTGGCGCCTGTGGCTCAAAGGAGTAAGGCACTGGCTCCATATGCTGGAGGTGGTGGGTTCAAACCCAGCCCCGGCCAAAAACTGCAAAATAAGTAAATAAATAAATAAAAAATATATATGATAACAGCAGGCCCTCAACAAATACCAATCCACTCCCTTTGAACAGAAATTCCGGGGAGCTTGGTAGCTTCCTGGCCAGTAACATTTAAGCTGCCTGCTTATAAAATCAGCTTGCAATAATTATAGTTCATCCTATTCTCCTTCCCGCTGTTTTGGGGTATTCATTTACCTTTTAGCTTTTTCTCCCTAAAATACAGAGTCCATCCTCTATATTACAGGCATTTATAATGGTAGTGTTATATACTGGACATATAATGAAGCAGGCAAAAGCTAGATAGATAACCTGATTAATCAAGACAACTACGTGGCATCACAGCTCACAGCAACCTCCAGCTCTCGGGCTTAGGCGATTCTCTTGCCTCAGCCTCCTGAGTAGCTGGGACTACAGGCCCCTGCCACAACACCCGGCTATTTTTTCATTGTAGTTTGGCCCAGGCTGGGTTTGAACCCGCCACCCTCAGTATATGGGGCCAGCACCCTACCCACTGAGCCACAGGTGCCACCCAACTTAATTCATTAAGAGTGAATGTGGAGGGCAGTGCCTGTGGCTCAAATGAGTAAGGCGTCGGCCCCATATGCCAGAGGTGGCGGGTTCAAACCCAGCCCCGGCCCAAAACTACAAAAAATAAAATAAAATAAAAAGTGAATGTGGTTACTTCTGAAAGAATTCCACTCTGTTAAAAAACCTATTGCATGTTTCTTGTCTGTCAGGGAAGAGTGGATTAGATGATTGCCTTGCTGAGTTTGCTGCCTTTTTTCCCCAGTAAGGCCAACAAGATATCAGCAAGATACCATGCTCTGACAAAGTGATCGCACAAAGCTTATATTCTAGAGATAATGAATGAGGCTGGGGCTGGAAATATTAAATTGAAAACCAACATGTAGAGATGGCATTTATTTTTATTTTATTTTTTGTTTTTTGAGACAGAGTTTCATTCTGTCACCCTGGGTAGAGTGCTTGGCGTCACAGCTCACAGCAACCTCCAACTCCTGGGCTTAGGCGATCCTCCTGCCTCAGCCTCCCGAGTAGGTGGGACTACAGGCACCACCACAAAACCTGGCTATTTTTTTTGTTGTTGCAGTTTGGCCAGGGCCGAGTTTGAACCCGCCACCCTCAGAATATGGGGCCAGCGCCCTACCCACTGAGCCACAGGCACTGCCCTAGAGATGGCATTTAAAACCACAGAACTAGGGCTGCGCCTGTGGCTCAAAGGAGTAGGGCGCCCACCCCATATACTGGAGGTGGTGGGTTCAAGCCTGGTCCCAGCCAAAAACAAATAAATAAATAAAACCACAGAACTGAGTATTAAAAAAAAGTGGGAGCCTTGGAGACCACTTTTTCTTGGGAAGAAGATCTAGCAAAAGAGACTGAGAAGGAGTTTGTCATGAGGTGAAAGGGAACCCAGAAAAGTCTGGGCTTCTGGCGGGCACCAAGAAAGTGTTCAGCCCTCAGCTGTCATCTTCTCTGTCCAAGTGCTCTCTCCTCGAAGTGGCCACCCAAGGGTTAGTTAAGATGGGATATAAAGGCCCCACCCCTTGCCTTAATTTGGGCCATTTCTGCAGGGCCATCTCAGTTCCAGGGCCTCCCCTGAGTCAGGCTGAAGCCTCTCACCACATTGAGAATATATCAGCAGCTCAACTTCTTCCTATGCACTCCCCCCGCTGTTACTCCCCTACAGGTGATAGTCCCAGGGACACTGATTAATCTACACTCAGACTCCCTATCAAAATCTGTTTTCAGAGAACCCGACCTAAAACAATCATTGTATTCCCAACTCAGAGGGGTGCACACAGCAGATGCTCTAAACATTTATTCCTATTTTCTCTTGCTTGGTCTGCTAAGGTTTCCCCTATTCCCTATCCTCCTAAATCTTGTATACAAAAGTGTCCGATAAATGGACTTGCTCTAGGTACTGGGGGTGGGGAGCTAGTACCTCAGACAGATACCCTGAAACCAACACACACAGTGCCACGGAGCGCCACAAACTTGGGGCTGGGGCCGGG